TATATATATATATATATATATATATATATATATAATAAACGAGAAAGGTTACTTTCGTTTTTGGGAGCGAAATAGGTAGTTGTTTTTGTAGGCGGATTTGAAATATTTGTGTTAATAGGTAGAAGAACTACAACTCTTTCAACATGAAGTCTGGTTTCAAGATAGCCAGTGATTGAGTTGAGCTGTACTGTATAATATTTTAAAATATTTGCTTAGCCATCTAGGTTGGCATTATTACTTTTTTATTTTTTTCTTTCAACTGATGGCGATGATTCGCCTGTGAGGGGCTCATGCCATGTTTTTTTCTGGGCTGCTCCTTACTGCATGTTGTTTATCGAGTAAGAGAAAATTATTTATTGTCATCTTTTAATTTTCTTTGCTGGTAAGTTTTACTGAATGGAAGTTTTGGACGCTCAAGTTTAGAACAAGATCAATTTTTCTGGGTCTTAATATGTAACGATTTAATTAAAATTCTTCTTTTTCTCTTTACTCTCGAAGTAAAAACTTGCTGTAGAGTGAACAGTGTTTGACTTTTTTTGGCATACTTTTATTTCTTTTGGGCAGGGACAGGTTTAATCAGTCGTAGGTCGTTTTAATAAACGTAGACTCGTCTCACTGAATTGAACGGGTTACAAAATCTCCTGTGTATTTGCTTGTATAACTTTATAGGGTTCCAGAATTGATGTGGAGCGGCGAGGAACAAATATCCATTTAGATGAGGAGCGAATAAAACTTGTGTTCAGCAGTTGCTCACTGGTTAGGATTGACTCTTTTGTATTATATTACTTAACTTCTGGCTTTTAAAAAAATCTTCTGGCTGTAAACTGGCTATTTAGTAGAGGACCAGAATTGTTCTTTGCAGCTTTTGAGCAATTAAGTTTATTTTCTTTGTACATTACGTTTGTTGTCACCTAAAGTTTATGTAAGAAAGTACTTGAAAGATTTGCTGTTAAAAATGTTTAGTTTGTTCAGGAGCATGCAGCATTTATTGTTAATACGCTGTATTAGTTTGTCTTCACTTCGAAAAAGATGAAAGAAATACTTGCACTTGTTTATTCTGATCTCAGATTTGTTTCTGGTATAAATTACCTAAATGCGTAATACATTATTTCTTGCTAAGCAGTTTTTAAACATTTAACTTTTTTTGGATCTTTATGGTATTAAGTGTTCATGCTTCGAGATATTATTGTCAAAATGATGAATAATCACTTTAGTGTCAAATTTTTTTCACCATTTTAATGTATGAAGTAGTTATTAAGACTGGAATTTTGAACACAAGGATTTTACAGCTGTCACACTCCGGTTTTACACTGATACGGTTTTTTTCTATTGCATGAGACTGCCATCCAGGATCTTTCCTTTGTTACTACCGGTTATTTTGTTTGCCTTTTCGTTAATGGATTACGCTAAGTATCATTTTGCTATAAGGCGGGAAAATTGTAGTGTTTTTGAACCTGATTATTAAAGGTGTTTTGATGGCGGAGATCGACGGAATCAAAGTAGTTTCTTCAGATGGTAAAGAATTTACGCTTCGCTCGGACCTAGTCCCGCATTTTGATACGATAATCAGGTTGAATCGTAAGTTCACTGTTCTTTCAATGCTTACATTGTTCCTCGAAAAAAAGCCATTTGTTGGGCTAATCGGCTTTTTGTGGAATTTTAACAACTTGAAAGAATCGTGTTTGGCCTTCTTTTTCATAAGATTTGAGGTTACTTGTTTTGCTCCACCTTTTCGTTTTCCTTCTAAAATTGTAGTAATTTCTAGGTCAGAAATTTTTTGGTTACATGAGAACCTCGCTTTTAGTTATATTTAGAAGTCTCTTTCTGTTCAGTGGTTATTTCAATTTCTTTGCATAAATTTCTTGGTCATTTATAAAAGCTCTTTGCTCGCTTATAATAGTATTTTAATAATTTTATTCTTTAACTTGTTGGTTGAAATGACGTTTTTTTTGTACAATTCTATCTGCACTTTTGGGGGTGTGTACCTATTTTTGACCTGTTTTAGAGGAACGGTTTGATAAACCTGGCTCTTCGGGTCCACTTCCGCTAGATGTTATTGCATCTGTTTTAAGGACGGTATGATTTAACGAAAACATTTCCGCTTTTTATTAGTAATATTTTTGATCTGGTATTTTTGGTAATGTCTGATCACCTCTCAGTTTGCTGTAGTAGGGAGTGTTCGTTTTAGGGTACTGCCAGATTTGAGGGATCTTTATTTTTTTTTATTTAAAGGAAGGTAAACTGAAAGACTATGACAGTATTTGTTTTCTCGGTAACAATTTCGAAAGTAGACTTTAACCGCTGCAAGTAATGAAGTTTAAATCCTCATTGGGCGTTTATTTCATTTAATTTCCCCATATATTTAGTAAACGTTAACCATTTAATTAAAAAAGTCACAATAATGTTTGTAAGTTCTCATTTTTTTCTTTTATTTAGCTATATTCAAATCACATTTTTTACCCCTATTGATCGCCAACACTTCTTAGCGCACAAAGAGCTCTTCAAGACGTTTTAAAAAAAAAGCTTTTTGGTCATCGTTTATCGCCCTTTTGACAACTTTTTAGGTCTCAGGTAAAGATTTAAAATGAATCTCCTTGTCGTTTTTTCAATTTTGGTTGATTGCCAGGAAAAAAAAGGGGAAAAAGGATGACTTTTATGATAATGATGAAGATAATGATGATGACAGTGATGGTAACAGTGATAATGAGTTGAAATGACTTCGAAAATGTTACCATAGTGGACAGAAGTCAAAAGAAAAAAAAAGAGAAACAGAAGCGTTATATACATTCAGATTTAAGCCATTTCGGGCGAGATATGGTGTATAGGGAGGTTATGACAGAATTTCCAAAAGTTGTTTGTAGTTCGCCATAGCGTTCGAGCGACACAGGGGCGTATACCGCTCTGTTAGAGCATAAGATTGTGCAAGACTTCTATGACTTTTTTTTTGTTACAGTTTCTTTTGGCAATCATTCATTAAAACAATCATATTTAGTATTGATTTGAATTACTTTTGGAAATCGCTGATTATTAGAGTTCCGTTAAAGTCGTCATCGTATTTTTCTCTGCAGATGCAGCTCCTTGTGATCCCGGAAGTTTATTTTTTCCAGTATTCTTCGCTTTACCAGTTAGATATTATTTGATTGAAAAAAACAGTCTGCTTCTCTAAGCAGTTATGACTTTTATAAATCATATTTTCTAACGTCTTTTCAAAAGTCTGGAAAAGTGGATTCAAACTTGCATTACTGATTGCGGCAGCGGTCTCGTCGAGACTTTGCTGTAGCCCAGACACTTTGTTATAATTTTATAAGCTGCTTCGTAAATGATGCTCAAAGAGTCGGCTGTTTTCCTGCTTGTTTTCTGTCGCCATTCTTTCCTCAGCAGCCATATTCACCTCTGACGATAATTTAAGCGGCCTGTGATCTTCCAGACACATTCTTCCATTTTTTGAACTTCGGGCTCTACAGACAGAGCGAACTTTTAGGTTCTGCCGGACCCTTATGCTTGTAAACGTGCGAGGATCTTCATTGTCTTCAGCCCTTCTTTTCAGAAAAACAGTGATGGGTTTTTGAAGTTTCGCTGCATCTTTCAATACTGCTGAAATACGTGGAAGTTTCCTGCCATATTTACTACTAGTTTTTGGTAGATTTAAATGAAACTTAATACAGAAATACAGAATTACTTTTACTACTTTTCAGAAAAACTAACTAATTTTCCGTCTTGAGAAAAGATTTGATCTTTGAACTTCTGGGATGCTTCTGGTAACAATCACTTCAAAATTTCCATTTTAGATTTTTGAATGGTATGAAAAGCGTGAAAACCTGCCTTCCTTAGATGAGGAGAATCCAGAGCTAGCCGCGTTTGACAAGGAAGTGCTTTTTCCAGACAATGATTACAAGCGTCTGGCACAGATTCTTAACGTAAATATTCTGTCATAAACCAAACAGCAGTATCGTTTTAGTTCTGTTTATTTCTAACTTGTTTTTGAGTTGGGAATTGTTTATTTTATTTTATTTAGGCAATCAGGAATTCAATTTTCTTTAGCCGTTATTGATTTTTATACGTGGGTTTGTGTAATTTGCTTTCTTCTTTTGCTAAATTATATTAAATTATGGTTTTTTTATTTTCTAAGTTTTATCACTCTTCACTAGACTTATGAAAAAAAGTCATTGATTGACGGCAGTAAATGTGTGGGATCAGGGATATAATATTAAGTTACAGAGGTGACAGTTCATTATTACATTTTTGTCGAAAGAGTACAGGATTTTTTTAATGGTGGGGACAGAAGGCAATTCGAAATGGCGGATTTTTGAGTTTATGACTTCGCTGCATTTGGTTTTGAAGGATTTTATTGCAGCAGGTTCGTCGTTCCTCTTTTTAAGTTAAAAAATAGAGTGTACATAGCTGGTAGAATTGTTATGGACAGCCTTTAGTTGCCCAGCAATTTCACACTTTAAACTCTGCGGATCCGTTGTAGTATTTTGTAGAAAAAATTTGAATTGAATTGGAAGGGGAGGAATTGGATAATTGATAGTACTTTACTTGATATGTTATCATATGGATATAAATTTTATAATATGGGAAATCAAGGCAAGTAGTAGGAACACCGAATTAAAATTTATTCATATGTGCTCAGATGTGTCTACTCTTAGTGAAAATCATTTTTGAGCTGTGTTTTTGAAACTTGTTTTGTTTTTTGTCTAGAAATTCTGTTTGTTAAACTTCTGGTTTAGCTTCTTATCAGATAGTATGCTTTTTTAATTTAAGAGGTTTTTGGTTTCTGTCGAAAATTGTGTTTTTAGTTGTTGAGTTTCATTTAAGGTTTTTTTTGCATTTCACTGCACAGCTTATTATACTTTCTGAGTGAGTTGGTTATTTCATTTCATTTCAATCACTTGGTTAGATTGATTTCTTTTTTTGCGAGGTTTCGATTCTTTTTTCTTAAATTCAAAAGGAGAGCGTGACTGGAAGAGAAGGTGCAGTGAGTAGCATTACGTCTTTGCCGCAGTCATATATTCATCACCTTAAACTTGTCGGCATTTTGATTGCGCAAAGGCTGTAGTACTCAAAAAAAATTCATGGGGTTGACGGTTTCTTCATTTTTTAGTGTTTTCTAAAGTTTTACATTTTACGATGTTTGATCAGCGCGGCCTTGCAATA